GGGAAGAAGCAAAAAATGCCCAACTGGAAAAGCAAAAAGAAAAAAGAATCCAAAAATACGAAGATAGTGTAAGGAGTCTCTGGGACAGCTTCAAGCACACCAACATCTGAATTATAGGGGTGCCAGAAGATGAGAGAGAGCAAGATATTGAAAACCCATTTGAAGAAATAATGACAGAAAACTTCCCCTACCTGGTGAAAGAAATACACTTACAAGTCCAGGAAGCACTGAGAACCCCAAACAAAAGGAATCCAAAGAGGACCACACCAAGACACATCATAATTAAAATGCCAAGAGCAAAAGACAAAGAGAGAATCTTAAAAGCAGCAAGAGAAAAACAGCTAGTTACCTACAAGGCAGTACCCATATGACTGTCAGCTGATTTTTCAACAGAAACTATGCAGGCCAGAAGGGATTGGCAAGAAATATTCAAAGTGATGAATAGCAAGAACCTACAACCAAGATTACTTTACCCAGCAAAGCTATCATTCAGAATTGAAGGTTAGATAAAGAGCTTCACAGATAAGAAAAAGCTAAAGGAGTTCATCACCACCAAGCCAGTATTATATGAAATGCTGAAAGATACTCTTTAAGAAGAGTAAGAAAAAGGTAAAGATAAAAATTATGAACAACAAATACGTATCTATCAACATGTGAATCTAAAAATCAAGTGAATAAAAAATCTGACGAACAGATAAACTGGTGAATAGAATAGATACAAGGGCATAGAAAGGGAGTGGACTGACAATTCTCAGGAGGAAGGGAGTGTGGGGTGCGGGAAGAGGCTGAACAAAAATCGTACACCTATGGACAGGGAGGAGTAAGGGCAAGGGGTGTGTTGGGAACTGGATGGAGGGGAGCCATGGGGGGAAAAAGAGGAACAACTGTAATAATCTGAACAATTAAGATTTATTTTTAAAAAAAGAAATACAGAGAAACAACATTACTTTAAAAATGTGACTACTTTTGAAAAGGCAAAAAGATATTATACAAAGTCAAGGCTTTGTAATTTTTTTTAAGTAACTTGTGTGAATCAACTCTTCTCTCCATTGCTTATGATTAAACACCTGTTAAAGAAATTTAAAAAAACAAGTTGCTGACTTACCTAAGATGAGTAGTAATTCATACTGGTTATGAAAAGAATAATAATCTCATTCATTTCACCATGTGAGTTCAGTACACAGCTGACCCTTAAACAATGCCAGGATTAGTGGCCCAAGCACCCACATAGTCTAATATATATATATACATGCACACATATATATATATCACTTTTGACTGTCCAAAACTTAACTACTAATAGCCTAATGTTGACTGGAAGTCTTACCCATAATATAAACAGTAGATTAACACATAATTTGCATATTATATGTGTTATATACTATATTCTTAAAATAAAGTAAGATAGAAAAAAGAAAACTTTATTAAGATTATCATAAGGAAGGAAAATACATTTATGGTATTCATTGAAAAAAATACGTGTCTAAGTGAACCCACATAGTCCAAAGCCATGTTGTGCAAGTATCAACTGGATATTTCACACTTGTTAGCAACTTAGTATAGTAAAAAGAACCCAGGCTCAGAAGCCTAACAACCTAGATTTTTGTCTTGCATTCATAAATCAACTTTCTCTGCTGGGTGTGGCCTCCTGTGTCAGTCAGGAGACAAATAGAATTTCAGATGGTTGACAATGTTAGACTCCCAAAGAAAAAATATATTGATTCCCAGCTACTCTGGTCTGATTGAAAGTTGATGACATGGTACTTCCACAGACAGCCCTACTCTTGCCAGCTCAGAAGGAATCTATGGGTTCTTCATCACCCTCCTCTTTTACGAAAGAGAAGGTTCAAACAATGCCACTATATCGAGGTGAGCCTAAAAATGTAAAAGATCATCTTCCCTGTGGGCAGGATTGCATCTCTCATAATGTTTCCTTTAGGGAAACTGTTTTATCTGGATCTTGGAAAGCTTGGAACTAGATTCCAAAAAGGTATATATGTCATTTTATAAGTGACTCACTTCCTAACTCTATCCCAGGTATGGGATGTGGGGGGAGTCTGGAAAGATACACTTGTTAAAAATGTTATTTTGGGATGGTTGTATTATTAACTATTGTTTTAAACTTTCTTCTTTATACTTTTCCATATTACAATGAGTATGCAATACAGCTATTTCCAGTTTTAAAAGTTCCCTTAAAAATTTGCCTTCCTCTGAAAGTCATAGGGAACCATGAGTCTCTTCCACTCAAAACTGGAACCATTTACTCATTCTTTCCCATTAGGTTTTATTTTGGGTGGAGTTGTTTAGCTCAATCTCCTATACCAACTCTTCTTCCTACTTTCCCGCCTCACCACCATATCTA